ATCTGTGTTCTGGTGAGGGGTCAGAGGTCACAGAGCCCACCTCAGGCCTGCTGTCTTGTCCTTTAACGATATCCTGCTCTGTAGAGGGAAGAATAAGGAAATCTCTTCTGATGTTTCTGGGAAGATCTTTGCTTTTGAAGACATTTGAGGACAAACTGGAGCTCCTGACTCTCAGAGAGGCTGCTTTGGGCCCCCTGCTGTCTTCTGTCTGCTATAACATCGTGTTTTCTTCTTCTCTGCTTCATTACAAAGGTTGATTATTTTCTAAATCAGATGCAGAAGAATAAAATCAAACGGCGTGATGTCACATGAGGAACATCCTGGGACAGTCTGTAGACACTTTAACCCCAGAATAATGAGAGGGAACACAACATACTGCTGGCTTTCTCCTTTCTAATTCACCCGGTTTTGCTTTGTGGGTAAAAATGCTGCCACTGATGTGTGTTAAATGAGTTTAAATACGACACTGCCGGGTGAGATGTAAAGACAAAGCCCAAAACCAGTAACCTCATCCACCAGTGAGCCTCCTGTTAGGCTCTCCTTCTGCTAGCCGAGCCCTACAACATCTGCCAGCGACTCAACCAGAGAGAGGCCGGGTAATAATCCCACGTTTTCTGGAAGACCGGCATTCCTGCTTCTCCCGGAAAGCTCGGCCCTTGATGAAGACAGATAGAAACCCCCCGAAACACAATCAAACACAATCACACACACAAACCGGTTGATGTTCGGTTGGGTTTGATTCCTGATTGGAGCTTTAATAAAGACACAAAGAGCTTTTGATCTACTGTCTACTGTGTGTGTGTGTGTGTGTCTGTGTGTGTGTGTGTGTGTTCTGGTATTTATCACATCATGGGGACTTCAAACTGTTTACACAGTCACGTCATGGGGACCTCTTGCGCTCTGGGGACAAAAAATCGGGTCCCCATAAGGAAAACCTTTTTAAATCACTCCTGGAGCAGTTATAAGCTGTCTGTGAAGTTTTTAGCTTTGGCCTATAACACATGTTTTTCAGTCAATGTTTGTGTGTGGGGAGTGCTCTCTTGCGCCCCCTATCTTTTTGGGGACAGCAATGCAATCGCTGTTGCGCTTACACACTTTGACCATATATGGTAGGGCACTGCCCACTTCCGAGTACCCATTTGGAAGGATTTTATGAAGAAGTGCATTTTCACTGGAAAGTGCTGGAAAGTTAACCTTTTTGTGTTGTGGAGTGAAACGGAAAAGTCAGGTAAGCATATTTGTATATTCCTGCCTTTTTTTCCATTCCAAAAGTAAGGCAATTAGCCACAGGCTACTCGGCTAATCTATTAGCCGAGTAGCCGGCTAATCTATTAGCTAAGTAGCCTGTAGCTAATGTAATTGCATGCATGATACAAGCTAACACCTGACGGTGATAATGAGGGAATGAATGCAATTAGTTTTTTGTTTTTTTCCCGGTTCTGACATGTTTTGCTTAACTTTTATCACAATATGTATGCATGACAGTATTTAGAATAGCAAGAAAAAAAATTAAAAGGAAAAAAATTATGAAATTAAGTCTTTAAATTAGGTAACCAGCGGTTTGTGTGTCTACTAAAACAGCACAGATATATTACTTATAGCCTAATATTAGGCTATAGTTTATTGAGCAAATGCAAATGTGATTTTTATATGATGAATTCACGATTAGTACTGTAGTTAAATTCAAGTAAAGTTACAACATGTTAGTATAGACCTAAGTTCTTCATAGATGAATTTGGAAATGCTGCAATTAAAAACAAATAAGCAACATAATTTTTCGAGTCATCAAATTGCTGTCCTACAAACCACAATTTTGTGGTAACTTCCTCTGTTGTGCTTTTAATTTGAAAGTGC